TTAGTTTAAAAAAAACTGTGGATTGTAGAAAATGGCAGAGCAGAGTTCTTAAATAACCATACATCTGATATTAATTATCGAGGTAGAGAAAGTTGGCTATTGTCTGTTGGTTTCTAATGTGCTTGCTGGGTAGAAGCACACTTTTTTTTTGGGGGGGGGGGGTGGTGGTGGTGGTCATCATTAGCTATCTTTTATTTTTTAAAATTTATCTTTATTGCTGAAAGTTTTACAGATGACCTCTTTTTCTTCATCATTGACCCCCTTCTCCCCACTCCTGTCCTTCACCTCTCTATTGTCTGTGTCCACGGGTTATGCAAGTACGCATAGAAGCTCTTTCTAGACACACTCGTCTGTTAGTGTGGCAGTGTGGTGTACCCTCAAAACTCTGAGGCTTGGGTGGTGTGATTCTCTGCCCTTCACCAGCTGGGTGTTTCTCCCCAGGTCACTTTACAGCAAGAGTATTGGTTTCTTGTGCTGTCCAACTGAAATAGCGATGGCTCCTGGGCTGGATTGAGGCTTTCAAAGAAATAATACATCTGATACACGTTGCTGCTCAATAAAACTTTAGTTCCAGGTCAAGCTTTCTTTATTTGCAGATATACATCTAAAAATCCCACCAAACTAAGCTTGGCTCTGGAGGCAGGATTCTAGATTCAGCCCTCTGAGTTAGTTTATAACTCAGGTACATTTTGGATGAAAGAAGAGTTTTCTCCCACATTTGTTTTTCTTGTTGGTAGATCAATGACTTGTGTGAGATGCATATTGATACAGTTCTAAAGGAGATAGCCAAAACTGTGCTAATTTCCCTGCCTGAAACTGGTGCTACCAAGGTGGAAGATATGCTGACACTCAATGAGGTATGCATTTATGTGTTATATTTTAATCATGGAGACACTCATAAACCTGAAATGTGAATTTTTACTATAGTCATCCTGGTGGGTATCAAATTGAGGTTTTGATTTGCATTTCCCTAATGACTAGTGATGTGGAACATTTTTTTCATCTTCTTGGTAACCTTTTGTATATCTTCCTTCAGAAATGCCTATTTTTTTTTAGTTGTAATTGTTTTTTATATGTTCTAGGAAGTCATTTGGAGGCCCAAGTCAGCTGTTCCCATTTACTTTCCTCTTTTCTAAAATGTCTGGATGTTGTCAAAGGACCTATTCCATTTTATAAATCTGCTTTCTCTTTTGAATTTAACCAGTTTTCAACTTCTTCCTAAAGCCTTTCTGACTATTAAAAAAGTGTAGAAAGGCAAAAGCACAAGCTTTTAGAATCAGTCCAAGCTGGCCTTCAAACCTCTGTTTTTACCCCCCACTGGGTGACCTTGGACAAGTTTCTTATTCTTTCTGAGCCTCCGTTTTCTCACCTGTGAAATGGGGACAAGAGGTTGTCCTTTAATTAAATGAGTTAATACACACAAAGCTTTGAAATTTTGATGCCTGATCTACACCGTGCTTACTTAAAAAACTAATTTCATTTGAATTGCAGCAACACTTTGGATTGTCCTTTTTAAAACCGCTTCTCATTTAAACATTTTTTAAAAATATGTTTTTTTAATTTATTTCAGAGAAAGTAAAGGAAAGGGATAGAAACATCAATGATGGGAGAGAATCATTGATTAGCTGCCTCCTGCAGGCTCCCTACTGATGATCAAGCCAGAAACCCATACATCTACCCTGACAGGGGAATCGAACTGTGACCTCCTGGTTCATGGGTGGATACTCAACCACTGAGCCACACCTGCCCCAGTTATTTTGAATTTTTGACAATATTATGTCTCTGCTTCTTCAGCCTTCTTCTTCTTTTTTTTTTTTTTCTTCATCATATCAAGGTGAATGTGATGTCTGTGTGATTGCATCAGGCAAAGGTCAATGACTGATTTTTCCTTCTCTTGGCAGGGGCTGAGCAGCTGTGCCTTTAGCCTTTGGCAGTTTTTGATCTGAAACATGCTATTGGCAACTATCTCTAGTTATTTTTCAGTGGTGGTTAATTATAGCTTTTTAATAATTTTCACAGTGTTTTAAAAGTATCTGGAAATTAATAATCATTTTAAATTTAATAGACATACACAAAAGAATGGGCTGATATTCTAAACCACAAGAGTAAGCATGTGGAGGAAGCTGTCAAAGAACTTATATCAATATTTGAGGCTATTTATGAAGTTAAATACACTGCCAAATCAGGAAGACATATATCAGGTAATTTCACTCGCTATAATGTTTGAATCACAATAATTAAAGAATATGTTCAAAAGTAGACTTCTTCTGCTTAGCAGGAACCAAAATTCCAAACTTCCAGAAGGAAAGCAAAGCAGGTGTTCAGCATAAAACACATTGTTTGCATGAACTGTTTAGACACAGTGAGCCCTTTAAAAAAAAAAAAAAGTATATTTTTATTGATTTCAGGGAGGGTGGGAGAAGGAGAGAGACATTGAAATATCAGTGATGAAAGAAAACCATTGACCGGCTGCCTCGTGCATGCCTCCTACTGGGGAGAGCCCGCAATCTGGGCATGTGCCCTGACTGGAATTGAATGGTGACCTCCTAGTTTATAACTCGAGGCTCAACCACAGAGCCAAACCAGCTGGGGCTGTTTAGTTAGTTAGGAGAGCGATTTTCAACCTGTGTGCTGCAAGAATTTTTAAAACATGCAATACCTGACTCTTTAGGCAGGGGGCACTGTCCTATTTTCCCTTAGATAGTCAAATGAAGAGATGACAACAGCCAACACAATGATACCTGTCCAGTGTGAATGAATCAAAATTAGACCCTTTTTTTTTTGTGTGTGTCAGATAAGCAAAAAATATAATGTATTTTAGTAATTAGTTTATATGTGCCAGGGGCTGAAACAGGTTGAAAATCACTGAGTTAGAGAATGGTGGGAAACCTAAAATCCTAGTTCCCAGATACCAATTAAGGACTAACCTTGCAAGCAGAGCTTTTCATAGATAGCAGTCTCAGGTTTGCTATAATAATTCTCATTCTCATCCTTCCCCCCTGCCCCCCCCCCCCCTACGGGCCCCCTTACCCCAGCATCCTGAAAAGCCTGGAGACATTTTGGCTGTCACAAAGCCAGGGAAGGTGCTACTAGCCTCTAATGTAGGGGTGTCAAACTCAATCAGAGAAGGGGCCAAAATCTAAAATCCAGCCTAAATCGCGGGCCGAATGGTTTACTGAACAGTCATAAACTGTCATTGTGATGGAAACGCAGCAGAGTGCAGTGATGACAGCGCGGTGCGGGCCACATTGCAAGGCCTGGCGGGACGGATTTGGCCCGCGGGCCTTGTGTTTGACACATGTGCTCTAATGAATAGAGACCAGGGATGCTGCTCAATATCCTAAATGCTCAAAAGCCCCCACCACCAAGATACCAAGAATGGCAGTGGTGCTGAGGCTGAGAAACTTGAGCCTAACAGTGAGCACACAGGCCTTCTTTCTCTTAGTGTTTCCCCACTTAGTTTAGTTAGTTTTCCTCAGAAGTTTCAAAACACAAACATATCAGTTCATTACATTCTAAAACTCCAAAAATAAATAACTATTTTAGAAAGATCGTAAGTGAAAACCTTAAATGTTTCTTAATTCCAGATACTAAGACAGCATATTTTAAAAAGTATATTTCTCAGTAGAATAACAATTCTATTGAGATGGGTGATTTAAATGGAATTCAAGGAATTCCTATGGGAACAAATTTTAAGTTAAGAACTTTTTAAGAAGAGTTTTTAAAAAAGAAGTTTGGGGCCATATACAATATAATAAGCCATGTGCTCAATATTAAAAATTACATCTTGTTTTGTATTTTATCTGCAGAACAGAGAAAACATGTTGTTTTTGGAAGTGACGCAGAAGAGACCGAAAACACTGATTATGAACCTACAATTGTGCCTGAGGTTGCTGTCAACGAGAAAGAAGATGAATTTAAAAAGGTATTTATTGTGAAACAACCTCAGTGGATTTCACAGAGTTATGATTCAGAGGTTGTAGATAACCCGAGTGGCGCTTCACCCAGGAGGTTCTGCAACCAACCTGTGTGGGTTAGAACTAAACTGAATTTGTAACAAAATTGACAAAATATAATTTTCAACTTTGCACTGATGAATCTGGCAATATATAGCAATCCTTACAGTTCTCTTCAACTTTATCAACTTTTAATGTGATCTGTCAACTACGTTTATATTAATACTTATCTTCCCCTTTGGTGATTGGCCATGCTTTCTTGCATAGTAAAGGCCCCTCGGGGACTGCAGCGCCGTTCTGTTTGACTGAGAGTGGGGAACGTTTTCCTGTTACTATGTTTAACAGCACGACCTGTATTGCAAGCCCAGATTTTGATTCATTCGGGGTCCAGGGATCTGCCTTCCCTTGCCTTGCCTTCCCTTGCCTTGCCTTCCCTTGCCTTGCCTTCCCTTCCCTTCCCTTCCCTTCCCTTCCCTTCCCTTCCCTTCCCTTCCCTTCCCTTCCCTTCCCTTCCCTTCCCTTCCCTTGCCTTCCCTTCCCTTGCCTTCCCTTCCCTTCCCTTCCCTTCCCTTCCCTTCCCTTCCCTTCCCTTCCCTTCCCTTCCCTTCCCTTCCCTTCCTTTCCCTTCCCTTCCCTTGCCTTGCCTTGCCTTGCCTTGCCTTCCCTTGCCTTCCCTTCCCTTCCCTTCCCTTCCCTTGCCTTGCCTTGCCTTGCCTTCCCTTGCCTTCCCTTGCCTTCCCTTGCCTTCCCTTGCCTTCCCTTCCTTCTTTTACCAGCAGATGAAACAATTTTATTTCACATTTGTATTTAAAACCAGAAAGACACTACGTTCTTCATATAAAAACATTAGTAAAGGCAACTGTACTTTCTAGAAAATGATGATATAGACCCTCTCAAAAAAATGCATTTCATTATATGGTTTCAGTGAATCTGCTTGCAATTCCAAACCTCACATCTGGACTGATTCCTAAAACATACCATTCCACCGCGGCACCTTTTGGTTCAAAGTATAGATGACTGTCATCAGTCCATGTTCCTACATTCTTACACAGTTGTCAATACAAATACCCTGTTTCCCCGAAAATAAGACAGTGTCTTATATTAATTTTTGCTCCCAAAGATGCGCTAGGTCTTATTTTCAGAGGATATCTTATTTTTCCATGAAGAAGAATACGGTACACATTTATTGTTAAATGAAAATAAAGGAAATTTATTACCTGTATACGGTACGGTAGTACAGTTAGTTGTCAACACAAACCAGACAAACTGTGAATCCTACAGTATCAAGAATTTACTCATTTATTCAATGACAATCATGTCATCATCTTCTGGAACATCATCATAACAATCCAATTCCTGAATTTCCTGGTGAATTTCTTGTGACTCCATTTCTTTCAGAATCAGTGGACCAAATCTCTCATGTTTAGCCTAGGGGGGCCTTATTTTCGGGGGATGCCTTATATTTCACTCAGAAGGAAACCTGTAAGTTGGTCTTATTTTCGGAGGATGTCTTATTTTCAGGGAAACACAATATGGGCTGGGAGATTATCACGTAATGCTCCATTGGTTCATCAGCCTTTTCTGCAGGTTCCTCGGCAGGCTCAGCAGGCTGTGCCTTTATCTGTGGTCTTTCTTCAAGGCCGTCCAGGAATGGAGACACATCATCATCATCATCATCATCATCATCATCATCATAAATTGTAAACTCCCAAGTCTTTACCAACAAGTCCAATGGAAACATTCTTTGTAGTTAGGTCTTGTTCTGCAGGAAGTGTCTCTCTTAAAGCACACAGACCATTCAAACTGCACTCTGCACACTCAGACATAAGTCTCTCCAAGTCAGTACGAGCTGATTGAGAACGGGCTCCAATGGACATAGTTCTGCAGTCAAAATCGTTAGCTGATGGACAGGTTTGGAAAATATGAGGGCCCATATCATCGTAGCCAGCAATAAGCAGTCCTACACCATATTGCCTTCGGCCATATCTTTGTGTTGGTATCTGGTATCTAATTGCTTCCAATTAGAGCTACAAGACAAGACACAGCAAGAGGTCTGTCAAATACAAATCTGGAATCCAAACACTCCTGGCGCATACAATTACATAGCAGTCTAGCACCAGCAGTAAGTCTCTCAATTGAAATACCAATATGGTTGTCAACATGGAGAATTTTTTTCTGATGAGCAGCAAGCTCTGACTGTGCTTTCTTCAATGCAACCAATACTGCATGGGTTTTTGATTTCAGACCAACTGTGGCTGAATCTTGTATAACAGCTTCCATTGCATATTCAATTTGATGAATCCTGCCCTGAGGGCGCCAAACAGTGACATCATTGTCATACTGGTTGCTACAGGGTCCTGGCTTTCTGCTTCTTCTGCAAAGCTGTGGATCAAGGATCCCAGGATCTGCATTTTCATCAGCACCATGGGCAGCCTGTGGACTCTCCTCCAGGAGAAACCCTGAGGGGGAGATTTTCACGTTGTGTGAAGAATGGAGGTTGAGAAGGAGGCACAGGGTTTCTTTCCCCTCTTGCCTCGCCCTTCTGGTGACAGCAGCACTGAATGCCCTGCCATGATTGTGCTAATTCCTGCTTGCCCTGTTCCGGTCAGTCTTCTTTTGTCCCATGATGCTCATCGTCTTTTCATTCTTTCTATTTCACATTCTTTTGCACTTTAACACACACTGTAATACAGACACACATTTGTTCCATTCTCACCTTCTTGCTCAAGGATGATAATAAGCAATTGAGGGGAAACACTGTCTTGCTGAAACTAGATTTTAGCTGTGGATTTCCTCTCAGAACCTCGCACCAGCCACTGTTAGTAGTCTGCAGGCATCGGCCAGAGCCAAGGGGGGTAGGGGGTCGTGGGCCCAGGCCAGTGGCCCTTCTCTTTCTGCTGCATTTCCTGAAACACTGGTGAGGTCCTCAGAGTAAGACTGAGAGCAGTCAGAACCTCTGGAATTGGTGGGTCACCTGGCGGCATCAGCGCAGTCGCCTCCTCAGTAGCCTCCACCTTCCTCATGGCTGTCTCACATAAAGATGGATATGTTGCTGGGACCCATTTGGCTCAGAGGTTAGAGCATCGGCCTGCAGACTGAAAGGTCCCAGGTTCAATTCCGGTCAAGGGCATGTACCTTGGTTGTGGGCACATCCCCAGTAGGGGGTGTGCAAGAGGTAGTTGATAGATGATTCTCTCTCATCGATGTTTCTAACTCTCTATCCCCCTCTCTCTTCCTCTCTGAAAAGTCAATAAAATATTAAAAAAAAGAACTTTAAAATAAAATAAAATAAAGATGGATATGTCAACCAGTGCGTTAGCCTGATAACTCACCGACCCTGACCTCCTGGTTCACACCAACTGAGCAGTCCTTATCCAGCTCTCAGAAATCAATGAAAATATATTTTAAAAAATAAGCAAGTAATTTAGGATTGACCTTATACAATATAATTGAAATTGTATGGTTTATTATTTTTCATTTTCCACATAACACTTCTAATATTGTATTTTTTTAAAAAATATATTTTATTGATTTTCCACAGAGAGGGAGAGAGAGAGCTAGAAGCGTCGATGAGAGAGAAACATTGACCAGCTGCCTCTTGCACACCCCCCAAAGGGATGTGTCCGCAACCAACGTACATGCCCTTGACTGGAATCAAACCTGGGACCTTCCAGTCCCCAGACTGACGCTCTATCCACTAAGCCAAACCGGTTTCGGCTAATATTGTATTCTTGCTTTGGGGATGGTAGGAGTTTTTATCTTTTGTACCAAATGTAATGTGATTTCTCATTACAGGAATGTAAAGAGGTCTATGCTTTCTTCTCTCATCAATTACTAGACAGTCTTCAAAAAGCTACACGGTTATCTTTGGACACAATGAAAAGAAGAATATTTGTTGCAAGGCAAGTTGAAAATATGATCTGATAATACTATCTGTAGCAACAGTGCTAATAAGAGCACCGTTTATTAATTTAGAAAATTATAAAATTTAAAATATAACATTGATGACAAGACTATATGAAAACACTAGAGGCCCTTAGTGCATCGGTGGGGTCCTCTCAACTTGGCCTGAGGGGATTGAGCCAAAACCGGCTCTCCAACATCCCTTGAGGGGTCCTAGGCTATGAGAAGGCAGTTCTCGAGTGACACACCCTGGAATTGGGATCTCTCCTCTCTGGTTACAGGTGCATCACTCGAGAACTGCAGTTGCCAAGTCACTGCAGCTTTGCAGCTCCTGCGTTGAGTGTCTGTTCCTTGGTGTTCAGTGCTCATCATAGCTACCGGTCAGAGCGTCTGCCTCCTGGTGGTCATTGTGCATCATAGCTACCGGTTGCCTGTTGCTTAGGGTTTTATACTACCCTGTTTCCCAGAAAATAAGACAGTGTCTTATATTAATTTTTGCTCCCAAAGATGCGCTAGGTCTTATTTTCAGGGGATGTCTTATTTTTCCATGACGAAGAATACGGTACACATTTATTGTTAAATGAAAATAAAGGAAATTTATTACCTGTATACAGTACAGTAGTACAGTAGTTGTCAACACAAACCAGACAAACTGTGAATCCTACAGTATCAAGAATTTACTCATTTATTCAATGACAATCATGTCATCATCTTCTGGAACATCATCATAACAATCTAATTCCTAAATTTCCTGGTGAATTTCTTGTGACTCCATTTCTTTCAGAATCAGTGGGCCAAACCTCTAATGTTTAGCAATAGCATTCTGAGACAGAGCCTGGGGGGGGGGGGGGCTTATTTTCGGGGGATGCCTTATATTTCACTCAGAAGGAAACCTATAAATTGGTCTTATTTTCGGAAGATGTCTTATTTTCGGGGAAACACTGTAGTATATATAGGCTGGAGGCCCAGTGTGCGGATTCGTGCACTGGTGAGGTTCCTTGGCCTGGCCTGTGCCCTCTTACAATCCAGGACCTCTTGAGTATGTCAGAGAGCCAGTTTCAGCCCAATCTCTGCAGACCACCAGTGTACGGATTCATACACTAGGCCTCTAGTATGCATATAAGATCTTTGGTTAATCTCTTCCCATTCTCCCTGCTTCCCCCTCTAGCCCTTCCCTCTGAGATTCATCAGTCTGTTCCATGTTTCCATGACTGTGTGTTGAACATCTGCCCCCTGATGGTCATTGTGCATCATAACTACTGGCTGGTCGCTTAGGCTTTTATATATATAGATAAGGGCAATATTGCAAGAACAGTGATCAAATGAACAACTAGTTCCTGGCAGCCAGACCAAGATGAAAAACACTGAACAGTCCCCTTACTGGTCCTCTCTGGCTCACTCAAAGGTAACTACTATCCTGAACTTGATGTTTGTCATGGTCCTTAGGGTTTACCACATATTTGTATCCCCAATCAATGTGTCATTTAATTTGGCCTGTTTTGGACTATGTTCAGCATTATGTTTTTGAGATTCATCTATGTTGATGTAACTTATTTTACTTCAATATAGTTGAAGCATACATAATCTGAATTCTGTACTATGGGTGATGGCCATTTGGGCTGTTTTTGGTTTGGGCTACTGTGAATGAAACCTTTCTGAACATTCTTGTCCCTGCCTCCTGCTAAGAGTGGAATTATTGGGCCCTGGAGCATGTGCCTGCCTCTCTTTGCCAGGCTAGACCTAGTAGGAGGGTCCCATGGCTCCTCATCCTCACACACAGTTAGTATTGTTCAGTTAAAAAACCTTATGTGAACGGCATCTCATTGGATTTTCAATGATCATTTTCCTAGTGACTGTTGAGGTTGAACACATTTTTATGTTTATGAACCATTTGTGCTTTCTCTTCCTTAAAATTTGTGTTTCCCTTCCCTTCTTTTCCTGAACACTCAAATTATTTATTTACTGGCATATTTCATTAAAGTCTTTAGGTTCTTGTATATTTTTTATCTCACTGGTTGCTTAGTGAGGATAGAATGTGTGAGGGGTAAACTCTCTGATTCTTCATTTTGAGTCTAAAAATGCTTTTGTTTTTGCTCTCTTTCAAGACAAGTTTGGCTAGATAAAATTCTTTTGTTTGTCTCTCAGCACTTGGAAACTACTTCATTTTTTCTGATCTATTTGTTGCTGATGAGCAGTATGCAGTAATTCTAATGGAAGATTGCTTTTTATCTTGGATGTTCTGCAGTTTTCTCTCCCTGTGAGGACATGTCTTTATTTATTCTGATTTGTTCTCAGAGTGCACTTTCTATTTGAGGGCTTATAGCATTCCTTAATTCTGGAAAATCACCAGCAATTTCCTTTGCAGTTATTGCTTCTGGAACATTCTCTCTCATTTTTATTTTTATTTTTTAGGGAGAATGGAAGGGAGAGAGGAAAGGAGGGAAAAGGAGGGAGGGAGGAAGGGAGGGAAGGAGAGAGAGAGAGAGAGAGAGAGAGAGAGAGAGAGAGAGAGAGAGAGAGAGATGTGAGAGGTGAGAGAAAGACACATCCATCATTCCCTGACTGGGGCTGGGAATTGAACTTGTAGCCCAGGCACATGCCTTTGACCAGGAATTGAACCTGCAATCCTTTGGTGCACTGGCCGATGCTCTAACCAGTGAGCCGTACCAGCTAGGTGGTACTTTCTCTTATGGAACTCCTAATAGCTGAACGTTGAATGGATTGACCACATAATTTATTGTTCCAACTAGATCACTTCTTTTTTTGTGTGAGGGACATGATTCAGGTGAAGGGTCAGGACAGACTTAACCCAGACTGTCCTGGGCACACTGGACGTGTGGTCATCTCAAGGGCTGGGGCCTCTCCTCCCCAGCGCCTAACTCCTCTATCATTTAGTTTGTCTTTTTTCATTTCTAGGCTGCATTATGGGCCAGCATCTCTGTATCTAGTATAAAGTGATTTTATCTGCTATCTCTTAAACATTTCAATGAATACTTTTTCTCATCATTTCTGCCTTTTTAGTTGAGCAATTTTAGAAGATAGCCTTCATTTATATCTCTGAACATTCTCATTATACTTACTTTAGAGTTTGTCATACTTCTCTACTTTGACTTTTATCTGGACTGAGTTTCTGGCTCAATTATTGATTTCTTTAATTCCCTTTCTTACTGTTAGAAATAGTCATGCTTGTTGAGATTTTACTTCATATGCCATCTTTGAGCCAGAGATTTTTTGCTTTTGAGTGTTAGTCTCTCCTTCCCTATTTCCTTGTCTGGGAGTTTCGCTTTTGCCTCCACATGACCTTCAGAACCTTGAATACAGAGCCACTCTTATTGGTTCACAGTTATTGCCCCCTGAAGAGGAACTAGAATATGGCAGGTTCAGCTGGGAGTACACAAGAGATCTGGCTTAATCACTTATTGGGGTGCTGGGCCTTTGCTTCTATCACCCCAGGCCTGCATCCTGAAAAACTGTAGCTGCAGACGGTTGTATTTATAACTGGAGGTGTCGTTTCTCACTAATGACAGCATGTATTGCTATGGAAATTTTATATCTACATATATAAAAGGCTAATATGCTAAATGTTCAACTGTCTGACCACCAGGGGACAGATGCTCAATGCAGGAGCTGCCGTGACAAGCACTGGCCATTTACAGGGAAATGACACCATGGAACTGGTTCTCACAAAGCAACACTCTGCTTCCCCCAAGTGGGACACAGGCCACCCAGCCCAGCCCTGAAACTGTGGCTGTGGGCACTGGTTAATGATGTCACATAGCAACACTCAGCTTCCTCTCCCTAGTGACTAGCCTCCTTGGGGTTTCTTCAGCCTAGGGTCACAGCTTGCTTTATATCCAGGTGCAAATATTTTACACTTTAACCAACTGTCTGTGAAGCATTTCCCCATGCCTCATCTCATTTGATGCTCACAGAAATCCTGGAGTAGGTAGATAAGAGACTCAGTGGAATCCTATTTTCTTTTCATTAAGCAGAAAAGGGAGATTTAGAAAGCTTAGAAATTTGACCTGACTGAAAAGAAGTAAGAAATCATGGACCTTGAAAATGACTTTAGGTTTTCTCACTGTGAAGAATATAGTCAAACCTTGATTCAGTTAAATAT